GTTTATGATCCTACAAAATTTTAAAATAGATTTATAAATATAAAAGTATATATGTATGTATATGTTGAAACAAAATAAAAGTCACTTTTTTTATATTTTTTAATATTTTTTAATATTTATTTTTAGGTAACACTGACAGGATATTAAGAGTACTATAAACCATCTCAAGTGCTTGTACGAGAACTACAAACAGATAAAAGCAGAAAGGCCAAACTCAAAGGACATGGTCTCCATTCTCCTGTTCCCTTTTGTATATTTTCCACCGCCCACTCGTCGATTCGAGGACTGGCAAAGGGCTGAAATTGAAAACTCAAAGTACATGGAATGGTATTGCCATTATGGGCATCTCTGACATGCATATGTGTGGAAAATGTTTCGGCTTTCCCCCCCTGTATTTGCAGAAAAAGAGGATGCTGTGTACGAAAGGCTAACAAACATTCAATTAAAGCATACTTTTGTGTATGGCATGGCCGTTTTTCACACCGTTGCCGCTTTGCATGGTCAGCACTTGCGCTTTTTCTCTGAAAAATGTTCATATTAGTACTTTAAAAACAAAAATAATAAAAGAAAATAAATATTAAAAATGTTTTAAAAAAATATATATCTATATTTAACATTTTTAAATTGAAATTTTTAGTTCTTTATTAAATAAAAATGAAATAGATTTATAAAGTTTTACCTTAGGTAATACCATACGATATTCTTGCGCAAATGAGTTGAAATTGTTGTTTTCAGACGTTTCCGTTTCCGTTTTGTTCTGTTTTCCCTTTGTTATTTTTTTAGCTGAAGTTCAGTGCAGTGTGTAATGGCTTCATTTAGAACACGTAGAAACTGTAAAGCTCGAGTAGTTGGGAGTCATTGCGCCCACTCATATGAGCGCACCTGTTCAAGTTCTCCAGTATGACGGCACGGTTGTCTTATGCACGGAAAACATTCATTCCAAAAAAAGGAAAATAGCAGTTAATTTATTTTTCGCGATGAAGGTTTAACAAACGACGAAAAAAGTAAATAATTCCTATGATCTCAAAATTTAATAACCAATAGTTTAATTTAACTTGATAAATATTTATTAATAATATTGCTCTGATATTTATAGCGAGGTATCTGCAATAAATAGGGATTCTTAGAAGAGATGAAATACTCAGGAATCCTATTATTTTCTTCTGGGAAAGTCCTTTCCGTTTATCCCAAGAAATAGACTTTTCTCTGTAGGTTCTTTCCCTGGAATATCCCATTTCTATATGCAACAGAGTTGTTTTGTCATGACAGATACTTTTCCTCTGTGTGGATGTGCTGGCTGCCTTGCTTTCTGTTTGTTGCTCCTGTTGCCACTAATAGTTTTTCAGCTCGTAAAAGCTTTGTTGCCGCTGCGCCTTGGCTTGGCACTTCGATCTAAGTTGGGCCAGAGACTTGAATCCGCTTGGCTTCGGATTTTCACCGTTAGTTGCTTCTGCTTCTACTGCCTCCTTCGCATCCTGCAGATGTATCTCTGTATCTGGGAGTCCGTAGCTGTAGCTGTATCTGTGTGCGACTTCGGCTGCGGCTGCTTGTGTGCTCACCATGGCGGAAACTTGCCAGGCAATTTCCGCTTTAAGTACCATTAAATTCGTATTCGTTTTAATGAGCTCTCAACATGATGCCCCCCAGAATCCAGAATCCCCTCACTTTTCAGACAGACAGTCAGTCAGTCATCTCCATCTCCATCTCAGCCTCCGTCTCCCTGGGCCATCGTTTTAATGACATTCGATTTCGTGTGTCTATATCCCATGCTGTGTCCGCCTTTGTTTAGACAGCATGAGGCGCTGTTTTGGCAATGGCAACGCCATCCCTTTGCTTTACGACCACTTTGATGGGCCTTTCATTTTATTTCGTTCAATTCTCGACCAGTCAACGTTGAAATCTGCTCAAGGTGCACGTCCGACGAGTCCTTGGTCCCTTTGTGTGAGTGCACAGCCAGAAAACATTAAAATATGTTTTAACTGAAAGGAATTATGTTTATACAATAGGATTGCGGGTCCAATGATTGCAAATTTTATATTAATTTAAGGTTACCGAAAGTCAAATAAATTTGATTCCTTTTTAAGAATACATAGAAAGTGTTTTATATAACTAAATAAAATGTTAGGTTCTTAATATTTCTTGTTAATAATTGGTAAAATGGAAAAAGTTGTAATGTAAATAAGTTTTTTTTTATTTTTAAACGTAAAATTAAATTATTCTCTAAGTGTATGCATAGGTAAGCCACAAATCGATTGTAGCATCTGGGAACAGCGGGGCACAACCAATCGCTGTTGGTAAATTAATTAATTTTCATGTCTTTGCCGTGTCTTAACATTGCGCATACGCCGCGTTGCACATAATTACTTTCCTTCTACTCGTAAAACGCGCGATAAATAATTCAGAGCGCAGGCGAAACTAAAAACTGAGCAAAGCAAAACTTAAGATCTTATAGTTGGGGGGGTTGAGGCGGCAGCAACAAAGAGCCATTTCGGTTCGTGTTTTTCGACTTATCGTGGCAAATGGATTATGCTGCAGCTTTTCTGGAGGCGGATCAAAAATGGGGGAAATGCTCCGGCCGGCTTTGTTGGAAATCCCCATCTATTAGCGCCAGTAAAAGCAATTATTTGAGTGGAAACTTCGGGGCTACCGTTGAAAGTTAAGAGCTTTGCTTCGGTTCCTGCTGCTCCTGATGTTGCTCCTGCTGCTGCTGTGGTTTGGCATTATCTCGCTGCACTCCCCATTTCCAGTTAATACTGTAAATAAACGCTGGCGAAATAACAACTTTTTCCGCCTCCACTCCGGCATTGTGTTTTTCCAGTTCACTGTTGCTGTTAATGGTTTACCTGTGCGGATGCGGCTGGCGAAGGGACTTTGCTGTCGAATAGATTAGTTTTGCAATTTTTCAGCTCAACACTTTCTGGGAATTAAGTGGGTTGAACGGCACAACAATAAGGCCTCAACGAAGGCCCAAATGGAAACGGGCTAAGCCCTTAAAATGCATTTAAGTCAGCTTTTGCATATTTGAATAAAGTCTCGATGCGAAGGGTTTAAGTTTTTAATAAATCAAGTCCAGTGAACCATATATACATTTAAATATTTAAATAAGCTGAACCAAGTCGTGTATTTATTTAATGTTGGGTCATATAAAATAGCTTTAACTTTAGGTTTAGACCTTTTTGAAAATGTATATGTGTTTCTATATTAAAAATAAATATCATATATGCTTTTTTCCTTAAAAAACAATTAACTAATATTGCCTTGAGTCCCTTTTAGGTATTTTACAATTAATTTAAGAAAGTATTACTTGCCTACCCTTAAACTGAAGCCTTTAGATTCAGAGCCACTGCCATTCAGGTCACCTTTTGAATAGAACCGACAGCTTACACTCTAGGCCATCGCATTTATATTCTATGGGCGCCGTGGCATTGCTAACAATTTTCCTTTGAGTGCAAAATGCTGGAAATTGTCACATCAAATTGGACAAACTTTGAGCGGGCGAATGGCATTCACGTAGACACATTCACTTGGCAAATTAAATAAACACCTCTTTTGGCATTCACACAACGAAATGTGCAATTACATTACCTTTACCTGCGCTGCGAATAGTATTTGCATTCGTGCCGCCGGTCCAGGATCCTGGCTAGGAAATTTCCATAACATTCAAGTCACCTGTCAGCCGAACGATTTGTCATATGCTGACATGCCAACTGTCGTTGTCAGGCAACGGAAACGCGACAGGTATCCTGTGGCAGGCGGAGAAAGGGAATCAAGGAGCAGGAGCTGGAGCAGAAGCAGCCACACTGTCTGGCATTTCCACTTGCCACTTGTCAGGCCGCTTTATTAGCCACTTTCGACCAGTTCCATGGCTCCCGGGGATATTCTATTCACTATTCTCCCCCAATGGAATTTGCAATTTTCCGTACTTCGCAGCTCTATTTACTCCCCTGCCTTGTCCTTTTATTTTTTTTGTTTTGTTCATCAACTGTTTGTCATGTCAACTATGCACCCAACTCTAGACAACACTTAATTATGTTTTCTGTTTCTCGCAAAAGTTTCACCAACCAGGGGAGGCAGAGAGAGCTAAAAGAAAAATTACTCGAAATGGCAAAATGATTCCGGCGCTGCTTTCTCCTTTGGCTGCTGCATCATAAATTATTGAAGTTGCCAGTCTGTCATAGCCATGTAGTTTTATTTCCGTCTCTTTCAGTGCTTCCTCAGCCGTCTCTTTCTTTCTAGATTTTCCCTCTCTCTCTCTCTCTCTCTTTCTCTCTCTTTGTCTATTTATTCTCGTTCTCTGTCTCAGTTGTACAGCTGGGAATTTAATTTGGCAGCAGGTGCCAAGTCGCGACCCGTCTTTAAGCAAAGAGATTCTGCAAAAATAAAACGAAACTTTTCCACTTATTTTTGCTGCCACAAAAGCGGACAAGAAAAAATAAAACTAATAAAATGTTTTTTTTTGCGGTTGACACAACTGCACAAATACACACATATATTTTTTTTAGTTTGCTGCTACTCTAAAATTTATTTTGTTTTCGCATAACTCGCTAGTGTTTTTTTAGTCCGCTTCTTCTGTGTCCGCCACTCAATAAATAAGTAGCGTAAATAAACCCGCCTCCTTTTTAGCCAACTTCTTGGCGAGGTAAAAACTTTCAGTTGGCAGCTTTGTCCCGTTTACATGACAATTTGACAGTTTATTAAGTTGCCTCTTGCCCCAACCCCGCTGCGTCCACGTATAAAGGGAGCTCAAACTTAATGGAAAACTTAGAGTGGCGTTTTCCCACAGGACACCATTGAATGGATTCTCAAGTGCCTGAGGGATATTGCTAAAAGGCATTGCTGATAACTCAATTAATGAAAGAAATATGTAGTCTTGAAACGCATTAAAAACTATCTATAGAAAAATATAAAAGCCTTCTGTCCAATACAAGTAATAATTTAATTTTGATATGGTTTATAAGGCTGTATTTTGCAATAATCACAATGCAAACAATCGTAAACAATTTCGCAACATTATAAAATAAGCTTTAATTCAGGATCTAAATGATGTACTATTTATCCATAAAATGTAGGCAATTTTAAAAGAACTGCCTTCTCCGTTACCAGGTGGAACCCAAAATACAGATATCCGTTTGGTTAACACTAAAGTGTGGTTCCAACGTGGAACCACTGAACTTTAAAAAGGAATTGATTTTGATAACGCTGCACTACTTATATCGCCGGCTGAGGGACCCATCGCCAATTGTTCGATCGTGTTCATATCTGGCGGACTGGCGGCGATAAGTGTGCTCCGCCTGCTGAGTGGAAGTCCTGCGAGCACGCTCCACGTCCGGCTGTCGGTCGGTGGCATGAAAGCGTTCACGGTTCTTCTCTCCTTCCTTCTCGCGGTCACGACGCAGACGCTCCTTCTGCTGCTCCTGGAGGCGCGTCCAGTCGTATATGAAGTCGTACTGATGGTTCAGGGAGCGGTATAAGACGCGAAACAGCTGGCGCAGATACTTGTGATCCGGGGGCTCCTTGAAGCGCAGATTTCGAACGTACTTCATATACAGCGCAAACTCGGTGGGTAGTCCGCGGCAGAGAGTCTCAATCGAGATGCCACTCTTCTTCTCCAGTATCTTCTCGTACTTCTGTTTCTTGTTGGCGGCCGTGATACCCTGCCAGGGTAACTTGCCCATATTGAAGTACATGATGCAGTAGCCCATGGACTCCATGTCATCCCGGCGGGACTGCTCCACGCCCATCTGGGCATTCATTGAGGCATATCGCACAGTGCCCGTGAGATTGCGATCCCTGCGATAGGGGATGTGCTCATGCGTCTCGCTGTCCTTGTACCGCTTGGAGAGACCAAAGTCAATAAGGTACAGTTGGGTGGAGTTATGGCCGAGTCCCATCAGGAAGTTATCAGGTTTGACATCTCGATGGATGAACCCGGCCTCGTGAACGGCTTCGAGGCGCAGCAGGAGCTGATCGATTAGCATCATCACGGTCTTCAGGGAAAAACGGCGCTTGCATAGGTTGAAGAGCTCCTCCAGCGACGGTCCCAGAAGCTCTATGACCATGGCGTTGTAGCGCCTCTCGGTGCCGAAGTGCAGCAGCTTGGGGAATCCAGGATTGAGGCGCAGCTGTTTGTACACCTTGGCCTCGTACATCAACTGCGGATACTGTGCATCGGTGGCCTCCACCTTGATGGCAACCTCGATGCCGTCTTTAATGGACAAGCCCAGATAGATGTCGCCGAAGGAGCCGGATCCAATGGGTCTGATTACCCTGTACTTGCCGCCCACCAACTGGTTCTCCAGATTCAGCGACGGGTTCCTCACTTGAACCTTGCCCGGTTGATGTGGTTGCACCACTGTGCCCTTCACTTTCTCACGATCCATTTCGGATTCCCTTGCGAGACTCTTTGAGGAAATTATAAAAATAAATTTGGTACGTTTTATTTTTGGCTTTTTCAGTGCGTCACTTTGTTTTGAAAGCTATGTTTATTTTGAAAGCATTTTGTTTTAGACGACTGACTTTTTATGTTGTTATAGAAAAGCGATGCCCTAAGACTGCCTGTTTTTGCAGCACTTTAGATTTTGACATTAAAATAAAGGCTAACTTTTACCAATAAGTTTAAACACCTTAAAACTAAATTTTACATCAAAGAAAAAATAATATAAGTAAGTATTTATTTGTAATAAATAAATATTACATATGCATAAGTTTGGGAAAATTATTACAGTTAGGAAAATATATAAATTATAAAATGTATGTTACGCTTAGTATGCAGACTTGGCCTAAGCCTCAAGGCTGGAAAATTTTATTTTAATATTTATTTCTTTCAATTTATAGTCTAAACATAACCAAGGATATTTCAAATTTCCTTACCTCGCATGGAAGACATTATTTTGGAGCATTTCGTATACATGTATTGTTTCTCTTGAATGGTTTTAATCTTCAGCTGCAGTAGCTAAGGATCTTCAGCTTAGCCTCAGTTCAATAAAGGATTGTACAGGTTCCGTTCCCGTTCCGTTCACTGATTTGTCTACTTCATATTAATTAATTTCTATTGGCGAAACCTTATCTTGCAGCTGCAGTTACAAAGTAGCTGGGAGTAGCTCTCCTATTGCATAATAGGTGACTTGGCTAGGGGCTTCATAGAATCACGAGTAAGTTAATTAGCAACACTTCGCTTGACTATAATAGTATTTATCTTTAGTCGCAGAAGCTTCAGAGATCTTTTGTTTCTAGATTAGAGAGGAACTCATTTTAGGCTTGACTTGGTTTCGACACTTGATTGGATTATTTGAAAGTTAATTAGCAAAACAAAACAAAGGCCAAAGTTTAGTCAAGGGTTCATATTCAGAATTGCATTTATATACATATACATATTGCATTCTAGAGCCTAAATGCAACGAAAAGAGCTCCGTTTATTACACAGGCCTGCATGGTTAGCTTACAGGAACAGTTATCTTGCAGCTCCAGCTACAATTCTATTCTAGAATAGCTGAGAAAGCTATGTATATTGAATAATGCGTGAGTTATATAGTTGCTTGATAGGATTAGGATTAAGTTAATTAGCAAATTCTGGAATATATGGGTGCAATACATAATTTAGCTTGACTATAAATAGCGTGACTTCAGCTAACTGCACTTAGTAGGTGATTTGTCACCATCAAGTCACGTCTATTTGTGCATAATTTTTACCGCTACAGTTAATGGGCTCGTTAGCTTCGTTAGTATTAATTGATTTTAAATATATTTATATTATCGAAGCTGATCAGCTCATAATCTGTCATTACAACAACAAAAGTTTTCAGTGTTTCTTTAAACGGAAAGTATACATTATTAAATAATTAAGAGAATTGTTTCTATCTTAAAGCGCATATGTAAGTATTAATATTTCCTTTTTTATTTTTGTCAAAATATCACAAGATTAAAAAAAGTGCAGCACATTAAGAAGTATGTATATGCCAGTTAAATACTTAAAACAATTAAGAGAAATAATAATTCAAAAATTTCGAAAACAGAATGAGAGTCAACACTTTTCCCAAATGATTTTATGGCATTCAACAGCTGAAAACGGACACGAAGTATCTAAAGTGCTTATGTTAAATTCAACATTTCATGGCGCCTCCATTTTAATGGAAATGAGTGCATATTAATATGAAATTAGATCATTAGCTTAGCATTTTGCAATTTAAGTGGAGCCAGAGGGGAGTGAGAAGAAGAAGAGAGGGACTGGAATGAGTGCAAATTAAATGCTGCTAAACGCAAATAAATAATGAACAGACACACGCAGAATGAAGCATTTATAAAGCGGCTTAAAATCAACGTAATCATGCCCCTGATGACGATAATAATGATGATGATGGTGTCTCCGAAGTGTTTGTGCTTTGTGCTTGTGTGGGGTTTGGGTAGTCCTTGGGCAGGAGTATGTGTGGGTGAGTGAAAAGACAAAGGATGTGGAGAACAAAGCAACTTCGCTTCAGGTGTGTGTGAGCAGTTGCATTAAATGCTCTTACCGCTGCTCCTGCCATCCCGACTTAACCCATTCCCACCCGCCTGCCACCAGCCACTGGCCAATGGCAACGGCAGCGACCATTGTTAATAATTTTGAGACAAAAGGCCACACTAAAACAATAACTAAGCACTCATTAAGTAGTAAGTAAGTAGATGACAATGCCGTTAGCCCCCGGTCTTGGAGTGGCCCTGAATGAGTGGAGGCCGATGGGGGATCGGGGGAAGAAAAGTTAGTTACGTGCCCGTGTACTCGTAACTCGAACTTTTGCCCAAAAGCATAGGAAATAGACGTAAAAGCCAAGGCGAAGCTACACAAGTAGCAAGAAACTGCTGCAAACGACGAAGACGTGGCAGCAAATAAAATAAAACAAATAAAATGAGATTTCGTTCAACGAAGACACTGCAAAACGATGGTAAAATATTTATAAATAAGAGGTTTAACTTCAAAATGTGGTTAGGTTTCCGTGTAGATATAGTAATTACCAATTGCTTCGATTTTAGTATTTTGTATGTAAATGATTTCTTCTTTGCTAATTTATAAAAAATAACATACAATGTTATCAAGTTCATTTCGCCCACGATCGTGCAAGTTAAAAAGCTTGCTGACCTGAAAGGGGTGGTCCACAATTCTGAAAACCAGAGCCAAGCATCTAAAGGATCCAGTGCAAGGAACAGAAGCTGATTAGGCACTGCGATAGGAGCCCAGACTGAATCAGTGGGGGCCACTTGCTGGAAGGCGCGCCTTCCCAACGTCCCCACTCCCCCAAGGGGGAACTCAATGCTCCCGGTGCCTTTTCTAAATAACTCATTGATCAACGAACTCAGTCTTAATTCGCCATTAAGAAGCGCACACAGTTTCGCGCTGTGCACCAAGCAAAGTGGCGGCCAAACAAGCATAGCATACTTATCAGCGCCATGGCAGCGGAGCAGCAGAGCAACAGAGCAAAGATGGCGGCGCGCGCTATCGTTTGTCTGTCTACTTTGTAAGTGTGCGTGTATGTACATGCGTTCATGTGTGTGTGTATGAGTGTTGGCCCGCGAATACAACAACTAAATTTATTTTAGTTTTAACTATTTGCCCGGGCACAAAGGACAAACGAGAAACGTCGAAAAAGCTACGCCAAAAGTAATGCAAGGGACACTCTTCCAGGATCACTGCAACTGTGTCTGTGCGAAAGTATTTGACATATACAAACAAAGCTCGCGCGCACACACATACACATACAAAGGAAACTATGGCTTTACATAGACAGACACATTTTCACTTTTCACTTTTCACAAAACACAGTGCACAAAAGCCGGCAGAGGACAAAGGATATTATAAATTACATACCAAGTTCTTCCTTTTTTTCTTTCTTCAGCCTTGTCGCCTGTTTGTGTGTGTGTTTGCATGTGTTTCTGTATATCTGTGAGTCTGTGTGTTGGTGTTCGTGGGAGGTGTGTGTAATTTGGTGTGTTATTGTTGCTGTTTCTGTTGCCGCTTTTCACTAGTTTCAATTTTTCCCCCCTCCCTCACTGCCGCTCGTCGCCTTGTTATTATAATTTTATCAGTTTATTTTCTTTTGCTATGCAAACTTAATTCCATTTCTCTGTTTATGTGCTTACACACTTGTCCAACTTAAATATAGCTAAATACAGGGTGACGCCTGCCTTCAAGGGCTTTATAATAACATTTTTGGTGTCAAGAAGTGGGAGTAAAACTAAAGGTAAAGGTCGCACCATAGAAAAATGAAATGTTAGAAGGTTACAAGTTAAAATTTGTATACCTAAATTAATCATTAATTTTTATCATACGTGTAATGGCTTAGCGGATTTTATTTTGTTTCGTTTTATGTAATGGCTCAGTATATTTTTGGGACTTGAATTTATAGATTGATACAGGTTTAATTGCTTTCAAATGATTTTGAAATTATAATTAATTGAAATACCATATTTCCTCAGTGAGAGAAGCTGTCCTAAATGTACTAATTTCTCTTTATTTTATTGTTGTAAAATATTCAACATGAAAACAATTTAAAAAAAAATATTAAAAATCCATTTAAAATATTCAAGAAAAAACAAAAATAACGTGAGCCTCTATTATCGTTTAAGGTACATAAAAGGACCTCCTTACGAATAAAAGAACACCCTGTTTTTGAGCAATCAAACAAGGGCAGCAGAGGCATCATGAAGCACAAAAAAGTGGTTACCCCGCACAGTCAAAAGTCTGCTCGTCTGGACAGAAGGACATTATTGGACGGACATTATTGCTGCCGTTTGCGTCGCTGCCGAGGTTGCTGCCACAGTCGCAGTCGATGCTGCTGCTTCTGCTGCCGTCGCAGTCGAAGTTGCTGCTGGCAGCGACTGTACCAAACGTAGTACGCAAACAACACACACATACACAAATGCAGAGAGCTTGATATGTACAGATGTATATACGTACATACGTACAGATGGCGGCATATGGCAACATTCCACAAACTCACTCAAAACCACTTAACAACAACAACAGCAGTGGCAGCAACAGCAGGACCCGTAACAGCAACATCAGCAACATAAGCAGCAATAATAAGAGCAACAACAGAGTAAACAGCAACAGAGTCCGCAAAATCAATAGCAAGAAAAGCCGCAAAAGCAATGGCAAAATTAGCGACCACGGCAGCATTAATAAAACTAGCTGTAGTAATATAACATTTTTGTAGATTTATAAAAAGAAGCTTCCCAGCAGCTTAGTCTGCCCAAAAAACTGAAAACCCAAAGCAGCTGCAAAAGTCCTTTATTTAACAGTAAAAGTAGCCAAGACTACAGCTGTTAAATATGTCTGTAAATTGCAGTTCTAACGAACAGCATCCACGTTAACAGTAGAAATTCTGTGCCACCACCAAAATAACACCCCGTAGCGCCACCCCACTGACTTATCCCAGGAAATCTGCTGTTTTTTTTTTTTGGTTTAATTCTAGAAGTGGTGGGTTTGCTTTTTCATATCCCAGCGGCAACAGACGCAGCCTCTGTTGGGACTATAAAAATGGATTTTTATTATGTTGCTGCTTCTGCTTTTGCTTTTACCCGCTGCTGTTGGCCTGTTTTTGCTGTTAACT